ACAACATATTTGTCATGGAGGTAGGACAAGTGTTATGCAACATTTGGGTCTTTAAAGATTAATGTAGCATGAGTATTCATAGACCCATTCAGTTTCTTAATTCTGATTTGTATCAACGACCTCACAGCCTTAATCCATTCGGAAAGAGTATCTACATCTTCTTTCTCTCATTTAACCCATTGCCTGGCATAATCCTTGACTGAATCCATCAGTATTTTGAAGTTGTGTTTCCAATTGATGGATTTAGGCTCATGATATTTCATGCCTTTGGATAACACATTTCGCAGAGAAGTGTTATTGACAATGTTTAGGTCACCTGTAATAACGTGGCCAGCTGTATTTTATATGAATGGGGAACTAGCACAGGTGCAATTAGGAGGTTTAGACTTGAAGTTGTCAATATTGAGATCCTTCAACACGTGTTTGTAATTGAAAATTTTAATTGCAATGGGTATAGGTATAAGAAATGATAGGTACACATTGATTTTTAAAATAGGGAGGTATATTCGAGTGAACTGATTTATGATGAAGGATATTGCCAAAGTTGATGGCATTGAGACCTTTGTTGGCAAAGGAAAGTTTAAGAAAGGATCTTTTCTCCTTTTCATCTTTTCCAATGAGAACTGGTTTGAAAAGTCTGTGACTTGCAATATCCGAAATGATAGCTGTATGTTTGTATTGGTTTGAATGAGGGGTTTGTAACAGTAGTTTTCCAAACATAAGTTGTACAGATAGTTTTGGAAGGGGTAACGAATAAAGCCTCATGCGAATGTGATGAATACCTAACGGATTTTGTTTAAATGGCAGCAGGTCATTTATAGAGACATAATGGAGTCAAGGAGTAGAGTTGAAAATGTTCATCACATTCCCCGAGCTACAGGAAGGACTAGATAGAATACCTATAACAGCAATTTTGTCATTACAACCAAATGGTGTCACAGTTCCCAATTGTCTAATCCAGTAGTCTTCTTTTTGTCTACGGAGAGGTGTTGCAAGATGAGGATTATTAGTCCTGTGGTATATTTTTTCGATGATGAGAACTTGCATAGAAAGGATTGAATGATTAGGCTGGTTAAAATGCTGGTAAACAATGTCCTTTAAGAAAGGGATAAACCCAGTGAATTATCTAGTCATGTGGATAATAATTACTTCAATTTAACCTTTTTAAAGCAATAAAACAATTTGAACTAAATCGAATTCAAAGTTTCCTAATAAAATAAGGTAGAATTGATTTTTTTCCAAAACAAACTATAGGCTCTCAAGAGCCTGTGTGGCTCACCTGATTCTACTTTGGTTTTGGAAATCATGTAAAAATAGATTAAAATCATAACAGATACCCTAATAATGATTGAGGCCAAATTTGGTTTAAGATTGGCCCAATAATTTAATCAAAAGCAGAAGACTTTTTAATGTTTACAGAAATTACCAATAAATTCATTGAAATTGTAGAAAAATGACTTTATAAGGACAATAGTTCCAACAAGATGTCAATTGACAATTTTGCTCATTCCATTCAGTGCTCCTCTAGAAGAAGCATTTGTATGTATTTCCCATAGGGTATTATGTTAAACTTACTCCCCCTGCTGGCAGCCATCTTGGATAACAAATCAGCTACAAAGTAACAACACTTGGTCAGCACCTCAAAAGAAACATTCATACCATGTTTGGTTTCAATCAATTAAGCCGTTTTCTAGAGGAAGACATTTGTATATATTGATGGATTTACTACAAAGTAACAACACTTGTCAGCACCTCAGAAGGAACATTCATGCCAAGTTTGGTTTTATTCCTTTCAGTGGTTCTTCAAAAGAAGACTTTTGTACTTATTTCACATAGGGTCCTTTATTAAATTATGTTCCCCGCTGGCAGCCATCTTGGATGATTGATTGGCTACAAAGTAACAACACTTGGTCAGCACCTCATAAGGAACATTCATGCCATGTTTGGTTTCATTCCATTCAGTGGTTCTCTAAAAGAAGACATTTGTATGTATTGTCCACTAAGGGTCCTTTGTTAAACTAAGTCCCCCTCTGGCGGCCATCTTGGATGATGGATTTTCTTCAAAGTAACAACACTTGGTCAGCACCTCATAAGGAACATTCATACCATGTTCGGTTTTCTTATATTTTGTCAAAATGAAGATTTAACTTTCCTTTTTTTCAAAAATATAATGAAAAGTATGGGTCACCGTGCTATTTTTTCCCCAAATATGCATAGATTGTTCATGAAAATACACATTTTTGTGAATAAAAAGAAATCTGTGATATAGAAATTTGAAATAAAATATGAGAAGATAGGTTTTAAAATATACTTTAAGTAAATAAAATGTACAATCCTAGATGGCAGTATACAATGAATCTACCTTAAGGGCAATAACTCCTATAAGAAAACAACTGATAATTTCATTAATGCTGAAATAATTGCAGATCTTGTCTTGCTGGTCATTATTGCATTCTAAAGTTTCTATCTATATATCATAGTTTTCAAGAAAATAGGCAAAAAAGCAAAAAATAGCTTTTAAGTCAAGGAAATCCTGTAAATAGTCCACCAACAATTTCAACAATATTGACTCATTTATAGATCTTGCCATGTGGATCATTTTGCTACTTAAAATTTCTCTCTATCTAATACAGTTTCAAAATAATATGCCATAACGCAAAATTGGTAAAAATTGTTAATTAAGGGCAATAACTCCTATAAGGAGTCAAATTACTATTTTGAACATTTGACTTACATGTGCTTGTTGATCTTGTCTTGCTAATGATTTTTGCTTTATTCTAAAGTTTCTATTTACATTTTTTAAAAGTTTTCAAGATAATGGGCAAAAATGGGGAAAAAAGTGGTAAAAATTGTCATTAAAGGACAATAACTCCAATAACAAGTCAACTGATGATTTCGGCCCTGTTGACTTTTTTGCAGATCTTGTCTTGATGATCATTTTTGCTGTTTAAAGTTTCTGTCTATCTAATATTGTTTTTAAGATAATAGACATAAATGCAAAAAAATGGTAAAAAAATCATCATTATAGAGCAATAACTTTAATAAGGAGTCGATTAAAAATTTTGGCTATGCTGACTAATTTGTAGATCTTGTTCTGATGATCAGTTTGCTAGTTAAAGTTTCTGTCTATCAATTATATTTTTCAAGATAATAGGCAAGAATGAAAACAAGAGTGCACACAAAGAAATGTCTCGCCTGCTTATCTTTTTAATCATAACTAATTGAACCTTGCCAGACAGACATCTATATCATTAACAGAAAGCTTAATACTAAAATATATGATAAAAGAGATGATTTTTCATTTCCTATCGTTAATTATCCATTTTTAGATGGTGACGTTCCCTTGTCACCATCTTACGGTGTTTATATATCTCAACTTGTACGATTCGCTCGTGTATGTAACAATGTTTTAGATTTTAACGAGAGAAATTTATGTATTACTGAAAAATTATTACACCAGGGTTTTCGATATCACAAACTAGTCAAAACATTTACTAAATTTTATCATCGGTATAAGGACATCATTCGTAAATATAGCTCAACATGCAGACTTCTTATACGTTCAGGTATTTCACATCCAATTTTTTATGGAAATATTCTTTATAAAGCACAAAAATGTCAGTATTCACCTCTGAAACTAACAAAACCTTTAAATAGACTTATTAAGAAGGGATATAGTTACGATACTGTTGTCAGGTCATTAAAGATTGCATATTTTGGCGTTAATATTGATTCACTTATAGGGTCTTTGCATCGGCACTAAACACATTTATTTAAAAACCAGTTGTTGGCATGACACGGGTTATGTTCTTCTCATATATGTTATGATGGTATGATACTAAACCCCTAACGGGAAGGATTGTGCCTGATATTCATATGATGAAGACATAATCTTTCAATCAGTTTAATTGAAGTCTGGAGCTGGCATGTCAGTTAACTGCTAGTAGTCTGTTGTTATTTATGTATTATTGTCATTTTGTTTATTTTCTTTGGTTACATCTTCTGACATCAGACTCGGACTTCTCTTGAACTGAATTTTAATGTGCGTATTGTTATGCGTTTACTTTTCTACATTGGCTAGAGGTATAGGGGGAGGGTTGAGATCTCATAAACATGTTTAACCCCGCAGCATTTTTGCGCCTGTCCCAAGTCAGGAGCCTCTAGCCTTTGTTAGTCTTGTATTATTTTTAATTTTAGTTTCTTGTGTACAATTTGGAGTTTAGTATGGCGTTCATTATCACTGAACTAGTATATATATTTGTTTAGGGGCCAGCTGAAGGATGCCTCCGGGTGCGGGAATTTCTCGCTGCATTGAAGACCTGTTGGTGGCCTTCTGCTGTTGTCTGTTCTGTGGTCGGGTTGTTGTCTCTTTGACACATTCCCCATTTCCATTCTCAATTTTATGTACATCTTACAATTATTCCATGCACCAAATATAGTTGACCCTATTGCTTATAGTATCTGAGAAATAGATCAAACCACAAAAACTATACATTTTTCAATGAACCATGAAATAAAGGTCAAGGTCAGATGAAACCTGCCAGACTGACATGTACCCCTTACATTCATTCCATAGACCACAAATAGTTGACCTTCTACTAATAGTATCTGAGAAACAGACCTAATCACGTAACTTTAACCTTGATCACTGATCCAAAAAATGAGGTCTAGGTCAAGTGAACCCTGTCTGACAGACATGTAGGCATTGCAAGAAAACCATATACCAAATAAGTTATCATTTTACTCATAATAAGTGAAAAATTCACAAAAAAACTATAATTTTTTTACAAGCAGTCACTGAACCATGAAAATGAGGTCAAGGACAATGGACATAAGACAGAAGGAAACATTGTAACATAAGGTATCTGCATACAAGGTATGAATCATCCAGGTGTTCTACCTTCTAAAATATAAAGCTTTATACAAATAAATCATGCCAACTCCATCGCATAGTAATCCCTATGTCTTGCATCGCAGGCGAGACAAAAATGGTTACTTACTGAATATTGGCTGTAGAGAAGACATCTCCTTGTACATTATTTGATGTTGTTCTGTTTTCAGTTTCTATGATACTTTTTCTATTCTCTTCAGATCTACCTAACAAATTACTGTCTTGGCTGGCCAGTTTTATTCTAAGTCTGTGTGCATGTCTTCTCTGTTCTTTTTCAAGTGCTTTCTTCAATCCATCGTTGTAAAAATATTCCATAGTTGTTGCACGACACCAATCTATTCTGGTTTGAGGTAGTTTTGACCAGTGGTTGCAAGATAGATTATACATGGCATCAGCATATACAGTTAAAACTGACTGATCAGAACAGTGATTTTTCCAAATTTCTTCCAAATCATTTGAACCTTTGGAATAGAGATATATTTTTATAAATACATTCATGACATTTACTGAGATTTCAATCAAATTGTAGTACAACTGAAAACAATATGCTTATTTCAAAATTAAATATGCATTGGTCTTTATTTTTTTTCATATTAATGTGACCATAGAATTTGAAAGTCATCAATAATTTCAAATTTGCTGAAGGGGCAATTATAGAATCGGAAAACTACATTGTAATATGCCTGGATTTTGTAGAATAAAGCTCTTTAGGTCTACTGAATTTCCTGAAAATTTGAGATGCTGACTTAAGTGTTCATGTATTTTATAAATGTTCAATTGAAGGATGACAACCCTTTGTAGGAGAGTAGTCAACATTCAGTTACCTATAGATCTTTGAGCCGAAAGTAAGGTATGAAGGTATCTCCAATTAGAACTAGAATGTATAAAAACATTTAAGGCACCCATACTATTCATCTTTTATGGGAGGGATGGTTTTTTCTAAATAAATTGTTCAATTCTAAATTTGTTTTAAAAAAAATAATTCGTTTCAGAAGGGAAGTGAAAAAATTGTTAGTTTTCATTGTCTCCAACTTAGGGGAAAAAAATAAATACAACATTGACTTTCCCCATTTTTTATTCATGTATGTCTTAAAAAACAAAATTGATTTTGCCATGCTCCCCCTCCTTCTCCCCTAATAAAGATGAATGGTTGGTGCTTAAATAAAATTAACCTACCTTTCTGGTACTTTTTTCTTAAATCTGCATGAACACCTTTGATTATAGCTGCTAATCTGAGATGTTCCTCCTTTTCTCTATCCATCTTGGTTATTTACACTTTCTTGTTTCTAGGAATGGGCTGCCATGTAAACATATGGCCACAAATCACAAGTTAGATGTACCTGATGAAAGAAAAGAAAATATTTAGGACTGTGTTTTTTTGTTTTGATTTTAATCATTCTACATTTACTTAAGAGTACCTAGCTACATTTAATATATAGTGAATAAAAGAGTAAATGTGAGGTAACTAAAAATAACAAAACAAGCATAAAATCCTTAACAAGAAACCACTTTCTATACCAATATCATACTCTAAATCACAGAGTTTTTACAATACAATGTATTTGTAAAACTCAATCTAAGTAGCCATGCAAACTGCAGTTAATATGGGGTAGCTCACCATATTTTTTTGCGTTTCGTATGGAAACAAGCTCATCGCTCAAAAAAATATGGTAGGTATGTAGCACTTTCAAATTGTAAAAAAATAGATATTTCCAGACTACCTTAAAAAGTTTAAAACCCTATTCTTATATGCATAGGAATGTAATCAAGGTGGTATACAATAAAAATTTATCTCTGTGCAGTGTTTTCATTGTGAAATAAATGGCTGTCAGAAGTTAGCTACAAAGGTTCTAACAAAAATCCAATTTTAAACACAAGTTTACAGGTAAAGAAATTTTGGAATGTTTGGTCCTTGGTGCTCAATTTCTTACTTCATATGGCCTTTTTTTAAGTTTTTTTTATTTGAGCGTCACTGATGAGTCTAGGGGTTCAAATTAGTGTGGGTCTGAGGTCCTGAACCTGTCTTTCTGGGAGGGGCTTTTCATTTTTGAATTACCCCGGTACATAAGTTAAGGACCTCCCATTCTTTACACTGTTTTATACAGAACTTATGATTTTAAAGATTGACCTATTTATTTGAAAATTCAATAGTTCTGGACCTTTCAATATGTAAATTAAATTTGAACCCCTGGAGTCATTTGTAGATGGAAGGAGTGTATGGCATACGAAATTTTAATCTGGGGTATTTATGATGAATTTATGTACAAGTATAGGCACATAGATGACATGCCAGTTTTTGCATCTTCTCATAATATTTAATCAAATTACTACTGTCTATCCTCATACACATACATGTACAATAAAGGTCTATCACACACCTTGCCATGCAGCTCTGTTCCTTGTTGCCTTACATTTCTACTGACTGTATTGCCAATTTATTAAAAGCATTTTTTTATGTTTTGAATGTGCCTAAGACGAAGCTATCATAAACTTAAACATTTATATATACATGTATTATATATTTATGGACATTGATGGCGTTTATACATATTAAAACTGTTTGTACATTGTACATAACATATATTTTATTATTGTGGGTTTTTTTTGGACAATCTACAATAATACAGTAATTGGCTAATTGCAGATAACAGTATATATTCTGCTGAGTGGAGAGAGGCAAAGCCCTCTACACCCCCTGATGCTGTCAACACTGCTCTCAGTCTGGCTTACTGAAAGCTATTTGAAACTATATTTTGAATTATTAATGAACCTTAACTAAAATATGATAAGAACACCTCCAACGGATTAAGTATAAAGATGTAATGCTTAGTTGTTGTTGCCTCACATCTCCTCTCATGCATCTGCCATGATCTGGGACTATAAAATTAAATAAGTCCCAGCTTACATCTGTGTGAACCTAGGCTAGTTTTGTGTTTGTCAGAACAATGTTTCTGCTTTAATACAGTGATTGCTTTCAAAGTAAGGCTTAACATTATCTCCAACGCTCATTCATACTGAGTTAATTTTGTAATGGTGTTGTTACCATAAAATAATTTCAACACATCACTGAAGACTGGAACCTCTGGAGAACGGGGAATGGTACACCTGCATCTACGTTTACCAATATATTCTATGGATGTATCTCCTATGTATGGTGCACTACTGATATTTTTAGAAGACAAGAAACATAACGAGCTTTCTTCAAAAGCCACTTTCGTTGGTCTTCGAAGGTTATGGTTACTTATATAAGATCGATGGAGTATACACTGTTTCAAAAGATCTCAGTCAGATCCCACACTAGGTCTGCAATTCAATTCTATTGGTCGAGTAGGTTTTATCAATGAATTAAACAAACATAATGTCTTAATCTAGACCTTTTTTTTTGTTCAATCTGAGAATAGTATACTATATACTCAATGTATTATGTCATAGGTTCAACAGCTAAATGCACTCGTCAGAGGCTGATTTAGTGTGTGTGTGTGTTATTTTTTTTCCAATTATGGGAGCCCCACCTTTTCAAAATCCTGGTTCCGCATCTGCTCGTACTTATCTGAGACTACTGTAACACTACGTGTTAAAGTAGTCTCCAAAGTAATGCAGTCAGACTAATAATGCATGTGGTATTCAGTTTATCAGCTTACTTTTTCTGACGCAGTCAGTATAATTTCGGTTTGTGACCCATTTATAAAGGACGCTTCACTATGGTAACGACATGCATGATGTCACAAATCTTTACTCTGATTGGACGAAATAACGGAATTGAACAAAAATCAACAAAAAAAGATATATGCTACAATAAAAGGAAAACATTACGGACATAAAATCAAACTTAAAAATATTATCCAGATAAATAAAAATAAATTCGGCAGGTGAAGAAGGTGTCATTATCACCTCTGTCAAATTGTTTGGATTTTGTAGGCTTAAGAAGGTTCATTAGATTCAGGTCAATTAAGCAATTGATAGCTCAGTGCTATAAATTATATCTTATCGACTAAAACTTCCAAGGCGTAATAATAATCTCAAAGAGTACAACATATTATACTTGAAATAAAGAATGTCAAAATACATATATCGCAAATTCAATTACTTGTCAAAAGCTGTATTAGATCATCTCTCTTTGGCGTCCGTCCGTCCCCGATATACACACCGAAATAGGTTGTATCTCTAATTGTTAAAGTTGTTCTTGACGTATAGTTATAATTGATATGTCTTCACGGATCTAAACTGTTTCAAGTTTGTTATTCATTACAGATTGTAACCTACTAATATCTTAATGTGTATGTCTATTTCACAGCTATAGGTATATACTTCTTTATCCCTGAAAATACCTATATATATACATTTAGTTAAGTACCATGCAGTATAATTTTAATTCTTTAGAGAAAAGCGCATATACTCAACTTTAACAATCGTCAGCCTTTTGCCGTCAAATTGTGTGCAATTTTTTTAACTATGATTTAAAAAAACCTGATAAAGATTCATGGTTTGTTTTAAACTGTATGCTCACATCTGAATGCGTCAGATATCTATTTTAAAGATAGTACTTGTTTTAAGATATGGTATATTTTGTCTTCGTGTGTACTGGGACTATTATACTAATTTTTTATGTGTACAATATTTTTATTATAATCATGGTTAATTTTGCTTAGTAATGGTCTTCTGGTGGCATTAGCATATGACTTCGTGAAAATATGTACACTAGGTTCCATAATTAGAACTACAAAAGTAGGCCCGTTCACAACCATATTGAAATTTTGGTGTAAACACGAAGTTAACAAACGTTCAAAACAATGAGGCTATATCTTTATGAGACCCGGGTAACTTTTGTTATATGAATTAATTATGAACTGAAATTGTAAACATTGTTTTTATTGCACAATTATTGTTTTTATCGGGATTAATTATGATCTGTTAACCTTTGATACGTTGTTTTCTTAGCGGTCAAGTAAAGCGCCGGCATTTCGACTATATCTGGTTTATTTTCAACACTAATATATTGACTACTTATTAATAATTTTTCGTAAACAATATATATTTTTTGCATTTAAACTAATTGATTTAATAATTATTTTTTTATTTCAAATCCACCAATTTTTAACAGTATTATATATATGCTGACTTCTTTGCAGAAATCTATTGTTTACATTCATGTACCGAATGCTAATTTACTACGTGCCACGATAAGCTGTCGATCAAAAAAAAAAATCAATAATCCGCTATCGGGGTCATGAAATCTCAACAGATCGATCAGTTTCCAGTCCCGTTAGTATAATAGTCCCAGATGTGTATTCTTTTTTACTAATTACTTGCACCTACCAGAGACATATAATACAATATTATATGTCTCTGCACCTACTCATGGAAAACTACTTAAAACATAAGTTTGGTGCATCATCTCTAGACATATATAATACCTGATACTATACCAAGGACGTATATTAGTTATAAATACTTGACTATACTAGTATGTGTCTCTGGGTTTTGTTAGTATTGTTTGTGTTTTCGACGTATTGGTTATTGTGTTTTGTCAGTTAGCCTCGGAGGACTTACGAATTTTATTGCCCCTTGGTGTCTTCTTTCAAGTCTTTTTATAACAAGGATTAATTTTGTTACCATTTTCAGGGTGCCATTTTCATTATTTCATTAAAGCTCATAACTTATTTGTTATATTGTAAATTTAAAAACAAGAAGATGTGATATGCTTGCCAATGAGCACCTCTCCACCAGAGACCAAATGACGTAGAAGTAAGCAACTGTAGTTACCGTACGGACCTCAGCAATGAGTAAAACCCATACCGCATAGCAAGCTATAAAAGGTCCCAAAATGACAAATATAAAACAATAAAATCGAGAAAACTAATGGCCTGACTTACATACAAAACAATAAACGAAAATAAATATGATATACAGCAACAAACGACAAGCACTGAATTACAAGATCCTGACTTAGGACAGGCACATACAGAATTTGGCGGAATTATATACATTTATTTCCCGTGCCTGAGGGAGATATGAAAATTTGTTCACCCAAGAAAATACATATTTCCCCGAGGGCCTCGTCCGAGGGAAATATGACTTTTCGAGGGTGAAAAAATCTTCATATCTCCCTAAGCCAAGGGAAATGAATGTTTTATTCCACTGCCATTACTTTGTTTACTCTAAGTAAATGAACATAAAACATTAATTAACATACATTTTATTAACTGCTTGTTTTCATAACTAAACACGACATAATTTAAAACATTGATAAACAGTACTGATCAAAAGATAATTATCTATTATTTATGTTTGGATTTTACGTCTGAAATAATTTTGAACACGAAAGTGACTTTTCTATCGCAATTTAAAAACGTTCAAAACCTTACTTACATAAACCGCGCGTAACGTCGCACAGGCAAGTCCCGAGTGTTCAGAGTGGAATATGATACTCAGAGGGGAATATGAAGTTTTGTTCAGTGTCACGTGGAATGGTCTCAACCAATCAAACATTGATTAAGCTATCAAATTTAACATACTGTGGAATAATATTTTTTATTCAAGTTTTGTTGCAATTAAACTTTTAGTGTTCGACAAACAAAAGAAACATAAATCGAATTACAATCTAAAAATAAAGCAAGCATAATTTGTTCAGGTCCCCTTTAGTTGTTCTATTGAACGTTATGGTTCCAGAATACTGCAAGGTTTATATGGTAAACTGTATCCATGAAAGATGGCATAACATCAAAAAAGGATTACAATTGTTTAACATCATATAGATATATGTTATAGGGGTTTTAGATGAATATGTAAAATTGTCCTTCACTGGCTAATGATAACAGTAATGAAATTAAAAAATAATAAGTTTTAAAGGTTCATAATGACATTTTCTTAATAACAAAACGGACCATGGTCCTGCAGTTTTGAAAAAAGGACAATATGTCTATAATACTCGGGGGAAACCCGAACGATGTAAAAATGTTGATTTGTGGATGCCGTTGGATTCAGTGAATATCATATTCTAGGATTGAAAACAATCATGGTGCCCCTTATGGACTATCAATTTAGAATAAAGTATATTCTATTCATACTCTATGTTAAGCGGGTAGTATTTCCCCACCAAACTACTTAACACCAGTCCACTCTCGATTTTTCTTGAATTTCGTATCGACAGAACATTTCGGTTGAGTTTCTCAGTATACAAACATAACCATAGAAATATATAAAACTTTACCATTCGAATTTAGTTTGCAGAACATCGAAGCAATCTCAAACATATCCAACCAGCTTTAAATAATAAAATAGATTTCTGTTTACCGATAAAAAAAAAGTATATTTTAAAATACTTTAAAGCTTTAATGTTCATATATTTCTATTTCGTATATATATTGTTATTTGTTTGTCAGAATTGAGGTTTTTTTCAGTTTTGTAGAAAATTGAACACGTGTTTTTTTTTTTTCGTGAATCGTGTAGACCCCCAACCCGAGGGATGAGGACGGGAAGGTGGCTAACATCGGCTTCGACAAATAAAATACATATGTAGTCACCTGTGACACATATATTCCATATGGTCATTTTACTCAAGATGGTGTCAGTAAAACTTTTTCAGGAATGACTTAGACTTTAAAATGCAATCCGTATATGTCCATGCAGGCGTCCGAAGATTTGAAACAGTCAATTCAGAGCATACAAGATTTCTCAATCTGAATTCATACTGTATGCCATGAGTCCTAGCTATTTTAAGCCTTTTAAAGTCTTTTTAACTCCATTTTTTATACGTGATAAATTAGGAATAGGTTAGCTAGTGCTTTGGTATTTGCATGTTTCAAATGATACATTTTGTCAATAAAATTCGAATTCATAAGATTTTCTTGACTTGTTCATAAGCCAATGTTGAAACTTCCCCAGACAGAGTAAATTTGCATTAGTCCAAATAATTATGACGTTACGTCACAGCAAAAATATTGAATAGCCTTTCAAGACGTCATATGATTATTTGGACTGTGTATAGACATTCGTCGTGTCGATCCTTTTTTACCCTTTTAGTCTTTGTTATTTCC